ACATTTTGTTATGTCTGCTTCAATGATCTTTAATGAATCTAATGGATCTAACTTGTTCATAAAATTCACCCCTTGCTGATTCAAGATTCAAGATTATCGATAAATGAAATGTACTACATTTTATCGGTCTGCTTTGAACAACGAAATATAATTTTAACATTCTGATAAAATTTTTCTGGCATTTCTGGGAAGGAATTAAATTTTTTTTAAATTTCATAAGTTTTATTGGCTGATAATCTGTTGTTCCTGATATTTTTATTGTGGCTCATCTTTCTTTTCGTCCCCTTCTATGGTTGTGCTTCTCAAGTCTTCAATTTTCTTTAATTGTATAGATAACCCAATCTTAAAAACTAATATCGGATTGCAGGGACGGCAGTAACCTGCCACATACTACCATCGTGAACTGCGTTAATGAAGGCGGGGGCCTAAAAGCAGACTAAAACAGCTGACCAAAAGCGAGCTGGAGTGCTCCGCATAACATGGACGCGGGCTGATCGTAATTGCCTCGTGCTACCTGCAACATTTCATGAATGTGGGGGACAGACACGGTGACGCCATGGTTGTATTGCAGCGTTTCGCATCAGAAGAGTACTGAAAGTGGATGAAGGTAAAAAGGAATGGGACTTGTAAAGTCGCAAAACTTGTACGCAGCGTCCAGTGTCACTCCGACTGAAGACGCTCACTAGTAAATGCAGGTCATTGACCTCGAATTTTTGTTTCAGGAAGAGCTCGCAGCAGAGCTTGGAATCAGGCTGTGATTCTGGGTCAAGGAAATGTAGTGAAATAGATTAAATGTATATTAGTACAATCGGTATTAAGCATATTTTTAACATTGTATAAACGTTCGCTGTAGATTCAAGATGCCAAACTAGTTGTGTTAATTTTAAAACGAACGTTTTGAGAAACTGAACACATTGTTGACAATTATTTTCAGAATTTTACGAATATTTTTTACGTTTGAAACGAATGACGTAACAACAGAAAACTTAGGAGTTAAATCTGCAACTACTCTAAACCACTATTTACGTACCTGGTACACCAGTTTTGATTTTTATATTTAAGAGAAGGGTTTCAAAAAGTAAAAATTGGAACTTTTGAATGGTGTGATTTTTATTTAATTTTATGAACATTTATCATTTTTGTAAGCTTAAATTGTTAAATTTTGCATAATAATAGCATTGTAGTTAATTATAAGCAAAATTGTAATTTTGTTCTAGAAGATCTGGGATAAGATAAGGGGTCTGTCAGACCATGTGTAAATATTATTCCTAGTTTATGGAAATAATTCCAAAATACGCTAACTTTCCAACGTATAACAAGGTTTCTGTAACCCTCTCCCAATGAAATAAAAATTAATAACAATAGTGTCCTCTGAGTCTGGAAAACAATTTACCTCTTTCCATCACTTGAAAAGCTTATTAAAATTAACTAATTTATTTTCTATTAATATTCCTACACGTGAATTCTTTGTTAAATAATCTAGTTCTTGCCAAAACTCGAAAAGAATTAGTCCCCAATGTAGTAATGAACGAAGAGTTTCGGATTAAAATATCAAGATAATTAATGTTACGTTTAGTAATCTAAAGCAAGTGTTTAAACTTCCTAACCCCATCGAGAGAAGCGTAGGACTGAAGAGATCGGCGATTCTTAGAACTTGCAACGGCGACAGTTGAGTCACGCTTTAGCGCCGTGGCGGAATAGTCCTGTGATTTAATGTTCTAGTTCCATAGTATTGAACCACTTTCGCATAATAGTACATAATGCTAATTAATCGACCCGCAAAAAGCACTTATGAGCGCTTAATAATTTGATCACTCATTAAAGATTTGAAACGCTTATCTATTACGTTGCATGTTGTGGAAATCTGGAAATTAAAAAGTCCTGGATGTTTTTCATTTAATCGAATGTAATACATAAATGTTGTAAAATGTTGTGTAGCATGACATTGTTATAGATTCAAAGTACCTCCTTTCATGTCGTTATCAATATTAATATAATTATCGAACATGTTGATATTTCCCCGTGATTTTGAATAGAATGCAACGAATATTGAACATAAGACGGCATTACAAGACGTCCATGTATGTCTTGTAACCTTGATCTAGATAGTCGCTTCATTTTTCATTTGCAGCGTGTACCGATCGTTCTTTCTTTCTGAAGCAAAATAAAAGCGCAGTGCTGCCCTCGTCGCTGTCTTACACTGCGCTTGGTCGCGTTATACTTCGCAATTTAACATTTTATCCACGCAATGTTTTGAAGTTTAAAATGTATACAGATGCAAGACCTATTGGTCTGACATTTATCTGAGATGTACGATCTAAAATGTGTCAAAATATCACACCCCAAAAACCTCAACGCTGAGAGCTCTTAACTCCTCACAACTGAGAATTCGAATTACAAGTATGCTCCCACTGTTTTTTCATCTGTGTCAGACAGAGCACACTGTGCTTTGCTGAAATTTCACAATTTAGAGTGCATTGCAAATGGACCCATTGATTCCTGTGGTGGCAATATCAGGAAGTTTTTCAGAAATGACTTCAAAGCGATGGCATGGGAGTTGACCCCCTGCTTGCCCTAGTGGCTAAATTTAGTTTTAAACGCGATGTTTTAAACACGACAGCGCAGCTTTGTAGTGCTTTGTGGATGCGAGAAGTCATGATCGAAAGAACTCCTCTACCATAGTAACCTCTACCATTTAATAGATCAAAGTGAAGCCGGTGAGCGCCACGAGTTATGCCTTAATCCGTGCATTTTTACTTTCCCGTGTATACGTATATACGCAGTAATATGCGTACTATAAGCAAATTTTATGTGATGCTGCGAAAAATCGATTTTGAGATTAAAATGGAAATAAGTTTTAGCGTCCCCTGATATCGAATGTTTTTTTCAAAACGTCCACCCGTCTGATGTATGTGAACAATACTAGCGCCTAAACCATGCGTAGGACTTTTTTTCAATAATTGAAGAAAACCCTTTGTATTTGGCGTGAGTCAAAGATCTGCGATTTTTTAAAGTTCCTTATTACATAATATGTGTATTATATTATTACTGAGCTAAAAAATTTTATTGACATCACTGATGCAAAATGTTTAATTTTATACAATTGTTTCAAATGTACTTAGAGCCTCTCCTTTTATTAAATATGTGTAATTATAGTGTGGAAGGAGTAAACAAATTTTTGTAAACATTGCTGTGTTTAATTTGACTTGATGTGTTTAATCTAAACAATAGAAGTCTGTTATTAGATCAAAAAGGTCAATTAGGCACAGATAAACATTGGAAATGGAATAGACTTATGAAAAACACACAATACTTCAGTGTCTACTACAAAGTAATAAAAATTTTAAATTAAATTTAAAATACCTTTTCCATATTATTTAATATTGCCTAAAATAACTGAATTGAAGTAGCCTGCCCGTTAAATTCTTCATACAAGCCACACACATGTTCAATTTTATTAAAAATTTTCTTTTCCTTTTTTTTGGGATAATCATTTTAGTTTTACACTATTGTTCATAATTGAACAAAGCAATATCAACTTTAATTACCATATTCAGTAGAGCAAAATTTAAAATTAAAAAAATCTTAAGAAATATTTATGTAATAAAATTAATATTTTTATTTTCTAGTGTATTTTATATCTTTCACCCATAACTCTCAGATTCAATTACAAATTTTGTATGTATATATTGGTTGGTTCAGTGGATATTAAGTATATAACTCCCAATATTGTGACTGGAACTTAAGTTCACTCCTGTGCATGTACAGTTATAATAAGAAAGCCATTGATCCTAGTGTTCAGCAAGGCCTCCCACAGTAGTGGGGTGGTTAAAAATTAGATTCCCATTCAAATGAGCTAACCCTGGAGAGCGTTGTATACACAGTGGAAATGAGTAAATTCATGATATTTATTAAAGCAATGCATTTTAGGTCTCTAGCACTGAAAGTATTTGTATAGAAGTTCACTCACATGTTTCATTAATCCAGTTATATTGAAGCAGTGTTTAGTAATTTCATTTCAGCAATGTATGTTGATTTTGATACACTTAATGTAAATGATTATTATTCATATTTTCGTGTTGGATTGTGGTCAATAATATAATATTAAAACTAGAATTATTGCCAGAGAAAAAATAATGCAATATTCAAGTAAATAATATGAAATATATTGAACGTATTCAAAACTTAAATTAATATTTTTACTTTTATTTATATATTTGTTTATGATATTATTACTTAATTAAATTTAATATTTTACCTATTAGTACATAGCACAGTTGTGGAATTTGTAATTCCTCTGCAGGTCTTTGGTATCACTATGACTTAAGAAATAAAGCAAATATTTCAATATTTCAACAATGCCTAATTGATCTTGGCACTACTCATAACATATTTCATTTCTTTTATTACACATTCAAGTCGAATGAGATAAAACAGAAAAGATTGTAAAAACCATGAATATTTCTTAAATTCAATAATCATACATATATAAGAATAAAGGAACGTACAGAAGACTATTTGTAATAAGGAATGCCTGATTGTATTAAACTTAATGTTTTATAGCTTTAATCCACATTAATGTAGATATTTATTGATTGACAATAAAATACACATATGATTATTCACAAAAATCAGTCAACATTTAAGAACAGGAGTCAGATAACACAAATAGTTAAATAAATGTTCCAAACATAATATTTCTCCTCTGTAAAAACGAAATAGCTACAAGAGTCCAAAAAGTTGATCAAACAACTTAAGATACTAAAATGAATGTACAATATCCTTTCCCAAATATAAATAATTTTACCACCAACAAAAAAATGGATCAAATGTTATTTGAAGTATGTTTCCTGTAATTACATTAATAACATAATGGTGATGTTTCACGATATAATCTGACACAATTAAAACACCACAATTTCTTGTAGACATATTAGAATACAACAAAGTTATGGTGGATTTTTACGGAAATGACAAACTATTTGTGTAATTTTCATTGGACTATTTTGTTTTTATGTGATCGAAGAAAATACAATATCGAAACATTACGAAAGTCAGCCTTCGGTCTAGGCCCTTGTATTTTATTTGAATCTGCCGCGCTCGGTGATTTACAGATGTCAGCCAATCACGAACCGTAATTTTCTTGTGGTTCCGAATGAAGGTAAGGAATCCTAATACGCTGCTAGCGGACCGGGAGGGAGCTTAGAGCTTGTCCCGGCTGGAGACTGTGTCTCGCTGGTGGGAGATACGTGGTTGGGGAAAATGCTGCTAGCAGATAAGTAGGTCAGCGTCGGATCTCACCAGCTAGTAGGGGATTATCACCACCAACTCATGAAGAAAGAACATACACTATACTTTCGAGACTAATGACCTTAGTAGTTGACACGCATGGATTCAATCAATTCATTTTCATTCCAAAAATGAATTGAAATTCACTTAAAATAAAATCATTTCGCAGTAAAATACACCACATTTTAAAAGCTTTTAGTTTATTTTCGTTTCTTTCTAATATTAAATCCAAACAATGCAATGCCTTCAACGATATCATTAATAACCGTTTTTAATTCACATTTTCTTAATGTAATTCGGTTTCAGGTATCAGTGAATGCAATTGCGTAGTTTCTTCGTCCTTGTTTCCTGAGAATCCAGTTAAACTTCTGGAATGTATTAAAACTATTTTTTGTACTTTACTAACTCTATCTACTTTTCGATTGCAAAGAGAAATGAACCAAGATCATACTACAATTGCATAAAATGGGGAAGTTATGATATTAACCCCTTTGTTATCTGAATTCAGCCCAATTTAATGTCTTTTATTTTCACGACATTGCCAAGCGTGTGTCGTTTGAATTGGAATACTTGATGGAGACAATAACTGTATGATTATAGTCGGATACCAGTAAACCGTTTAACCATTTTTCAATTAAGATTGTTGGCTGTATTAAATCAAGAAATATCGAGAACTACATAACTGTATGTGTCTAATATCTTGGTTTCCCAAGGAGCCATAATTTAAGAACTCTTTGATATTAAAATGACAATGAAATCAAACATTGCAACACTAAGTACGAGTTTTATTGTTTAAGTTTCACAATAATAATGGTCTTGTTAAATGTTTCTTTGTATTATGATAAGAGTGACTGCTATTGTAAATTGATGAGTGTTTACTATCAAAGTTACAGTGTGGTAGAGTAGAGTACGTGCGTTTGTGTGTATGAGATGAGAATATGACAAGTAAGAGAAAGGAAAGATCGCGCGCGGCCCGCAGAGTGTTTAATAGGTTACTGCTCCGGAATTTACCTGGTGTTGATCAATGAAACCACGTAAAACTGTCTGGAGGAGATTTCTAGCGCTCTCAGATCGATAGAGGCTAAATTCGACCTATGTAGCTAGTGCATAGGAGAGAGAGGAGAGGGAGGGCGAAGAGAGAGAATTAGAAACGACGTCTCTAATTTTGCAATTACTTTTCACATGCTGTGGAGAGATCACAGTTGCGAAAGCTGCTAAAACATTCTGGTAAATCACGATGATTGGAATTCAAACACGAGAGCGGCTTTAGGGAGATGTAACTAGAGTGAGAGAGGAAGAAAAATGACAAGGCTTGAAAGATGATGACAGAACAGGAAGGAAGAAAGAAATCGATGTCAGAGATCGATAACGAGAAGAGGAGAATGCAGACGCTAAAAAGTCAGAAACCAATAAAAACGGCAGAAAGAATTATGGTCGCCGACTTAGAAACAACGAGAATTGAATATCATAACTGCCACTAACAGGGAATGACCGAGAGAAGAGTTTGGGAATAATGACTTTTGAGCAATTACATAACCGAAGGCAGAGTTAGGCAGAAATGATAAGGGAACAGCAATTGAGCAACCGTTCATTGTGTGAACTTGACGTCCGGCTCAAATGCAGAAGGTTGTTGCAGAGAATGTTGCGCAACTCCAGCAGCCGGGGAACGTTTGACAGGAACGGCGGGCGGCGCGGGGGCGGGCGCCGTGGTTTAAGAAGGCGGCGCGGCACCGCAGGCCGACAAGGCCCGGCAAAGCGATGCACCCGTGGACCGCGCTTCTGCTGTCCGCCGCCGCCAGCGCCGCGCGCGCGCTCGACAGCCCCCGGGAGCGAGGGCTCTTCGTCGAGGACGCCCCGGCCTCGCCCGCCCTCAACGGAAGCCAGGTGCGTCTGCGGCTGTGGCGGGGCACTCACGGGTGCGGTAACCCTGTCTCATTGGAAAAATAGAATCAAGAAGAGAAGAAAATGTAGTGTACTGTTGCGTCTTTCGGAATTATGTTCCAAGTTTGCACTATCCAAGGCGTTTCAGAGGAGATAATTCAATTATCATCTACATTTCATAAATATTCATGTGGCTTTTCTCATCCAAAAGGTAGCGTGAAGATATTTCTTCAATATATTAGTTGGCTTAGTTCTTTTAAACAACAAATACAATTTACTTGGGTATAGAAGGATATTCAATACATTCAAAAGAACCACTTATAATTAATTAAAGTTGTTAGTGAAGTTAAATTTGTTTGTGTTCACTAATTTCAGCGTTATTGAAATGAATTTGGAGTGAATTGACAATGGTGCAACTATTATTTTTTTGAATTTCATTTTAGTTTCTATTCACGTTTTTTAAAAATATCCAATGTTTATGTTGTGTGTGTATGTAAGGAAAATATTTAAGGCTACACAAATTCACACCACATAAAGGCGGGCGTAATTCAGGTACGTTTGATTCAAATGCTCAGAGGAATTCATATCACCTAGAGATGCTTGTTTTTATTAATGCAGACTTTTACGATATTTTTAGACTACTCTGTCTTTTAACGGTATCTAATTTCCTCCCTAGATGTTTACTGCAAGAAAAATAGTATAAAACAAACAAGTCTTTTTTGTGTGCAAATAACACGAATTCGATGTTGGAAATTTATTACTCTTAGTTTTCAACAATACGTGATCTTATCTTTGGCTTACATGTAGGCCAATAGTAAACCCTTTCCACCCCAAATCTCAAGGCCGTCTTTCGGGTTCTATTGAGGAACAGTTTATTTTTTGTCTACCGCAGGCCTGCACAGCCTTTTGCACTTTCACTGACCTCGGGAGCTGCGGCGAGCAACTAAAGTGCAAATCCACAAAGTTGGAAAAGATGGGAATAAAACCGATTCTAGGAATGTGGACCACCAATTAGAATGTGCAATTGGAACCGTAACGCGCAAATTGAAATAACAATCGGCGAGAAAATGACGGACGTTTAACAAACTTCAATTGGTATTGACTTTTGTATTATATTGCAAATGTTTGTGGTCAATATATGGCAATGTGAAATATGAATCTAAAACAAATTACATACACATATTTGATTTGGACACCAAGAATTATAGTTGCTTGTAGGGCTGATTATGTAAATCGCTTTATTGTAATGTAATCACAAATTCAGTGTGGTGCTAAACACCAACTTGTAATATTGATGCCACATCTGACAGGAACAAGTAGAAACCATTGGTTTTAAAACAAAATCTCACCACACTCAGATATCGAGGAAGGCTCTACCAAATCAGTTTAATGTAGACGTAAATATATTGCGAAATCAAATTAAATCTATCAAAAACGGAAAGTTGCGGGGTCCAGATGCCATTTCAACTGACATAATTAAACTAGACAGAGAGGCAATTTTACCTTATCTAACAAGATTTTTTATGTATCCATCAACAATTCACGCGTGCCCGACGATTGGAAGCTAGCTACCGTTGTTCCGATTTTTAATGACAGAACTGTTTTAGCCAATTATAGACCGATAAGTCGTACGTCAGGTTTATGTAAACTAGTGGAACATTTGTTAACTAGCTGTATTAGACAAGAATGGGAACAAAAAAAATGGACATTTCAGAGACAGCATGGTTTTAGGAATGTTTTCTGTTGCGAGAGTCTAATAGTATACTTTCAGGATATAGAATATGAAGCTGATGATTGTGGAAGGGTGGACGCTGTAATAATAGATTTTGCGAAGGCATTTGATGTTGTCTTACACGATAAACTGGTTCAGAAATAACTGCATTCGGGTATTGTCACCAGAGTTGTGGTGAGGATCGATGAGCTTAATCAAGATAGGAAACAGAAAGTCCGGGTTGAAAAAACAATTTTCAACTCTACCAGAGGTAACTTCAGAGAACCCTCAAGGAAGCATTACTCGTATTGGACCTCTCTTGCGCCTTGAGATTGTGAATGACCTGTCAGATCATTTATTTTCAAAGGTACGTCTATTTGCAAATGGCTGTATAATATATCGAGATTTCAATCAAAAGTAGACGAGGATATTTTGCAGGGTTATCTATATTTACATTTCTGGACCAGAAACTACATTTCTGGACGGAAGAAATGAAAATATTCCAAGAGTCTTGACTTGTAAATGCCTGGGAATAATTTTTGATAGCTAATTGAGTTGGAAAAATCAGGTAAACTTTCCCGTAGGGAAAGTCTGGAGATCTTTGCATTTTACTATGCGAATACTAAAAAGAGCGAAAGCGAGAGAATTAGCATACGTATCTCTAGTTCGCCCATAAATGGTATACGGGGCGGTTTGTAGGGGCCCTTACAGAAAATCACAAATATAATATTTGAAGAAAGTACAAATAAGAGCGGGTAAACTTACTCTTCGAATCAATAGAAAGGCAGCAGGATGGGAGACTTTAGGAGTCAGGAGGTTTAAGGCAAGACTCTGTGCCCTGTGCAAAGCGCAAGCCGATAACGTGGCCTGGGAAGACATATAGATACGCCTCAGTAGACGCACATGCTTTAGTAGATGGGATCAAAAGCACAAAATTCAGAATAGATGTTGGAACATTTTCCTTTGCGAATAGAGCAATAACGGAGCGGAATAGGTTGCCTGCGACAACCTTGGAACCCTTTCCTCCAGGTGTTCATGAATTTAAATGTTATCTAACCAATGATACTTGTAAACTTTATTAAGTAGTAAGTTAGGCTTGTTAAAAAAGTTATTGTATTAATATTATGATTATTATTAATATTATTATAGTTGCTAATATTAATATTGTGATAATTACTATTAAATACAATGTTTTATTGACTATATAATTATATTCAATGAAGTATTTGTATTGACGTGTGGTGGCGTATTCTGAGGTGTAATTTTATAGGGACGTAGAAAGAGAAGTGCAAGTGTGTGAAGTGGAGTGGAGTTTAATTAAAGTGTCGTGTATTTATTAGTTTAAAATATTAGTGCAAGACAAACATAGTAAAAGTAGAGTTAATGCTATTATTACCTTTATTATAATACTTATATGAAAATACTGTACACGTTTACTAGGTACGTTAGTCGAGAAATTTCCTTATAACATTTATTTCTGACTTATTATCCATAAGAATTCGGACTTTTCATTTATTAACCTAACAATTCAAGTGTTAACTTGGCATTCTGTTTGAGTAGAAACGCATGGTAAAGAACTCATCCACTTTTTTTACTTTAAATACAGGTGCAGTGCTCGGAATTGCCAGGCAACTTTACTACTGCTGGAGGTGTAGAGAAGAATACTGCAACCCAGGCATCAATAAAGATATGCGATGAGCCGTCGCTTCAAACTTCTCCAAACAATAATTCATCACCTACATCTTCTCAGAGTAAAATTGTGATAAACACAGATGGAACAACAAAAGTGAGGAACATAAGTAAGCATATCGTGCGTCCCCATCAGGCTCCAATTTATCAATCACTTGACAACACGTCAATCACTCAAACAAACTCTACAAGCAGATCCAAGTTTTCCAAAAGTCTACAAAGTAATTCCGGAAATCAAGAAAAAGAAGGATCTATAGAACTTCAAACATTCCCCGCAAAACTTCCAAACGGCGATGCATTCTCAGTCAGATCCCAACTGCATTTGATTAAATATACTAACCATTTTAAATTATCAAACTCTACTAACACGGACACTGAACAACACACACCACACGTTGTACCTGAGCAAAATGCTTCCGTTGCGACAAACAGAGGGAAAGAGTCCCCAAAAATATCTGTAAAAGCCACACCATCATCTTCAGGAAATAGGACTGGGTCTCTTAACCCTTCCAAGCTCACTCTCAAGTCAAACACTACTCACGAGACAAATGCTACTAGAACTGCAGATCATATATTCAAACTTCTTTCTTCAGATAACGATTCAAATATTGGCACCTACTCATGGCAAGTTGTACGAGCTCCCTCTCCGACCATGTTCTTTCAGGTTGGGCGAAATACCGAAGATGATCATGATGATTTGAAATTTAATTATAGAGAAAATAGGACGCTAATGTTTCCTAAACAAATAGAGGAAGAAAGAAGCACTCATCAGATAGTGCCCTATAATGAAACTGTGATTTAAAAATTCTTCTGGAAGACTATAATACTAAACATATTAATTCAATTCTTGTTCTAAGATGTATGATTAAGAGGATGTATTTTTCGTTTTTGAAATATTTATAACGCATAAATGATATATGTAAAATATTTTATTGTAATATGTATTTTTAATGAAAATATTATTATTTACTAGGTACAAAATGTCGGTAACCCAATAAATGTTAGTTTCACTTTAATCAATATAAAGTAAGAAATTACTCATATCATAAGAAAGAGGCAAGGTCATTAGAAACCCAATTAATACTCTTGCTAAGAAGAACCAAGTATACCACATTTGCAATTTCTGTTCAAGAAAATCAAATTTACAATTTATTTAAAAAGTAAAGATTGCAATATTAAAGAGTTTAGGCAAAAATGTATTTACGTGTATTAAAAGAACACTTCCATCTGTGTATCAATAATAGATTTCTGGACTTCAAATTCAGACAATGAAGTGCCTGGCACTAAATGCAACTATGTATCACACATGTGTACCACTGCATCAAATAACATAAAGCGGAGTTAATTGTTTTCTTTGCAGCACGAAAATTTATTTCCGGCAGATTTATTGAAATACTATCAGTTTTTATTAATCCTACAAATATTCTGTATATTTGTAATATATTAACTGTTTTATTTCCTTCTATTCCAAGTCGCAAGCCAACGAGTAAGAATTTATATTAGAAACGTTTCAGAAAAATAAAAGAATATTTTTCTTTACATGTCTATCATTAGGGGATGAATTGTTAAATTGTCCTTAAAGGTGTTAAATTGTTCTTAAACATCCAGAGGACAACTAAAATTATTCAATTTCATAAAAATTGTTGCGATTATGATTAAATCAATTAACTATTAAAAATGTGAATTATTGAATTGAATTAATGCCTTATTTTACGTGGCGAGACTCAGACCGTGAGGCCTGCTCTTCCGACTGACCACGCACATTTTGCTACGGTCCTTTCACCAAGTAGTGGAAAAAGGAGATATTTCCTGCAGGACGAAACAGGCGATTTGAATTTAGCTCAAAGGCTTCAGTTAGGCTTGATCTTTTACATCCAGTAAATGTACTAACATGGAACACCCGGCTTTACTTTCCCTCTGAAGGAAGGCGTACGAAGGATTTTTTCGCCCTTAAAAATCCACGACTTCCATCGAGTTTGAACCTGCAAATTTGGGTATGACAGCTACGCTACGCTAAATGATTTGCAAATTTGGGTATGACAGCTACGCTAAATGATGCACCATCGCCGCCGCTAAAGTATTTTAATTAATATGATAATTACATATTTAGGCTTTAAAATATCCCAATGGAGCACATAAAATAGGACATTTTAATCGGCGAAAATAGCCTTGGTAATTAATTTCTTATACACGCAATATAAGTTGAAATGAAAATGATAGATTTTATTTTAATTCATTTTTTATTACAGAAATATTGGTATGAAACATAAAAAAGACTGCCTAATTATATCAAATACCAACAAAGGTAGTCTAATATACTAATCTCTAAACCTCTCCAACAAAACTTGATTAACAATACACAACCAAAGTTGCCTCCCAATTATGAGAAACGACAAAAAATATATTTCTACTTCTACCCTTGCGTTTGGTGCATACTTTAGTTTAGAGAAAATTGGCAGTGAAGTGACTGTGAGTTCTCAGAGGTTTCCCCCGTTTGAATTTCTGAAAGAGAGCGAACCCGCGGTAGAAGATGTAAATTGCTCGAACGGTTAGTCAAATCGTCAGTTCATCTGAGCTCTCGCCGGACTACCGCCTCGGAACGCTGCGCGCGACAGGCCGTCGCAGCGAGTGGAAGGGACGGCTTGAGGTCAGAGAGTATATAGAGAAGAGCTTGAGGTGATGCGCAACAAGGCTACGTGGCGAGGAATATGCAGTTGTCTTGTCATTTTAAACAGTTGTCAGCTTTGCACTCGGTTAAGCGGTATTTTTTCTTCATCACTGCACAGTTTATGCAAAATAAAGCAGACCCACCTACTGAATTTTTAATGTCATAAACCCTATTAACGCTAAACAATGTCGGCAACAATAATTTCTCCGGCAGTGCAGTGCGCCAAGCTACTCAAGTTACAAAACTTCTGTGGATCAATCGGTAGAAGTGGTCAGACAACAAGGCAGCATGGAAGCGTGCTTCTCATTTGATTCCTTGCAAAGCAAGTAGCCTGCATTGTAGTCGTCACAAAATTCTGTAAAGATACGGTTATACGGTTCCTTTCAAGACTCTCACGAAGATAGAAAGAGAGAGAGCACTTGAAAAAGAATTCCGATGAAACGTTTATCTCCGTCAAGACAACTGAAATTCGAAACGGATTCGGTGCATTGAGCGATCGTGTAGCCTCTCCATACGTAAACCAATGGCCATCCATCCGAGAACACTCGAGTGAACTAACAGATTTTGTGGCTAAAATCCCCCTTCCAATTTTCGTCAAATTTCTAAAGAAAACCATTTCATTGAGGAGCTTAGAAATAAAGGGACCAGTGACTTTGCAGCAGCCTTTAAACATAAGAAAACAAATATAAGCGCCAACTCAATAACAGATTTCCGGAAACTTCTTAAGTATCTCATTTTAGCATCCATGCTTCACAAGGATCCTGCAAATAAAAACATCAGTTGTGTTAAAAAATTAGCATCAATCCATAATAGAATCGGGTATGTTTATAGACTTTTTATTACGTCTCCCATCAGTCACTAATATCACAAGACTGAAAAAAAAAAAAAAACATATCAATTCCGGCAGTTGCTGCCAAGTTTAGTGGCGATGAACCAATAGATACATCCAAATATGTAACATGTTGAAGCCATGAAGGTCTGTCGGTTTCGGTGATCAGATTTACAAGGAGAACTGTAAAGTCAATTTCTTCCAAATATTTTGTTTGTATTGGATATACTAGTTTAGGGGTTTTCGTATTTTTAAGGTTCTTGTCCAAACTATAACGAACAATAAATTCAAAATTATCACAAAAATAGACCCAACTTACTACTTCTTACATGATAAAACATATAATCCATAAATATTCGGTATAGGGGCTGCACAGCACCTATTCTTGTGGGCACTAGATCTTCGAAACTGATAAACAAAGTCGATGCCAAAGTGTGCCCGCGGAATGCTCGTATACCAGATAACATTGTTTACCAATCTTTAATTTTGACACAGGCACATCAATATATGATCTACTAGTATCAATATAACAAAAACGTCGAGTAAGCACATTACAATAAATTTTAATCCATAAATTTGCAGAAACGAATTATTGAACTTACGTTCGGAACAGGTAATGGATGTAGGGAATTGTATTCAAATACTAATACCGAACACCAAATACAAAATTTCCAGAGAAATGTTTTTATAACAGGTAATAATGAAGGAGTAAACTTGGCAGAAATAGTATTTGGCAATACGGTCAACTGAAACAGTGATGCGGTTTTTTGTTACTTATCGAAAAGGAAAATGTGCGAAAGTGTCAATTGGTGTCAACAGGTTGGAAAAAATGGCACACATTTTATTCTTTTTAAAACCTTCTAATATAGAGCAGTATACCGGTCATTGTTTCCGAAGGTCGGCATCATTACCTGCAAACTCAGAAGCAGACCTTTAGACTGCAAAGAAACATGGCGGCTAGCGCTCTGATACCGACGCTGAAGGCTACATTGGCGATTCGGCAGAAAACAAGAAACGAAGCAAAAAATCGGGAGTGAGAATCACATGCCTGGACCTTCCAATGTAAATAACAAGAAATTCATTATCTTACCAAAACTTAAGATTTGTCTTCCGCTTGTTTTAATATAAAATATTGTTCAAGTGATACAGTTTATATATGGTATGATAATACAATTATATGTTTTGTGTTAAATAGAAATATTGTAAAATTACCACGTTTAATTTTCATAAGTAATTTGTTTGGAATCAATTCAATTATATATTCATTATTCTTGAAGTTTAACCTTCGCCCCAAAAAATTATTACACTCAAGTCATAATGCAAATAGTGCTATTATGAATTCTATAAGAGATCTAGTATTATGAATCTCCTAAGTATAGCATTCGCTTGAGTCAATATAAAATGTTGTTCAGACCAATATGATTGCTTCGTTTTGGATAAATTGTAACATAATGTTCAAAAAGGTCTCAATTTGTGTAAAAGGCATAAATTGACACAAAAATCTGTTTTTAGAGCGTATCGTTTCCGATTTATGCTTTATGGTAAACTGCGTTGCAACGTTATCATAATCTGCCAACTTCTATGTTTTTCATCTTAAATCTCTTTGTTGCAACCCTGGGGAGTAATGCACTAGTCAGTAGTAATGCACTAATGCGGTTTTGTGACCATTCTTTCGTATAAAAGATCAGCCATCTTTTCTTAGCGCATTATAAATAGAGGAGATATTTTAGTATGTTAAATACTTCACAAATAGAGAAGGTTCACCGCCTATAATACTTTGATCAGCCAATTATGATTATTGTTTTTATTTATTGTATTATTTTTATTGATGTTGATGAATTGTAAAACCAGTTAAATTATTACGATTATTTAATAATGTTATGCATTAATGTTGCCTATAATTATTGAACAAAAAATACTACGCATTATAAATTACTTTTATGGTGTGTCAGTGAACCTTCGGCACTAATTCTGGGTCACCCTCTCAAGTATGTCCTCGTATCTAAACTTAAAGAGCTTTTTTAGTTGAGTCAATATGCTTTGCTTTTTTTGGCTTCTGCCACACCTGAAAGTTATCAATGTTTGCCTGCTCATTGCCTTAGCCGTAATCTTCACCGATCTATCACCACGTATTCCATTTCTACCACTAATAATAATATTCCCCAAATAGCTAAACCGACTCATTTATTCACTCACCGCTATTGACGTACCGCTGTAACCGTAATACATACATAATATATCCTTCAATCGATGTTACCTCAACTAATCGGCCATCACCATCGTCATCGCAAACACGATCGTTATCGTGACTCCTCATGACACCACCTCATCTCCGATACCACCATAGTCGACATCATCATTGCAATCTCACGTGGCAATTATCATTGGCATACCCCCAGGGGGCTCCGTCCCCACAGCTATCGTCTTCAAAGTCATGAGTCGTGGGCTGCGCCATTCTCACCAGCACTTGACGCCGACGACGTCAGCAGAACGCAGTCGCCGCAGCGCCCCCAGCCCGCTTCCGCTCCCCTCCGCCTGCATTCCTACTCCACCGCCGCCGCCGCCATGGCCCCCACCTCCTTGCCGCCTCTATTAACCTACTGTGTCACCTCCACCGCCTACGGCCTCCGCCGCTGCCTTCGCCACACCCGTCGCGGTTTCCCACCTGCGCGCCCGCCACCGCCCCGTCTCGCCGCCGCTACCACCCCGCCACCGCCACCGCCCCGCGCGCCTCCGCTCAGCCAAGCCGCCCGTCACCTCCGCGCGTCCCGCTTCGCCCCCAACTCCACCACCGCCGCCGCCGCACGTCCCCCGCCTCCGGCCCGCATTACGTTGTCCCCGCCACGAGTCATCGCCACAGACATTGCCATTGCCCCACCCTCCCGATTCCGCGACACGTCGCCCTCCCCCCGCCACGCCACCCCACCACTACTTTAGCTGAGACCGCCGCCGCACCCACCACTTAGCCTATACCGCCGCCGCCGCCGCCACCGCAGTGCTTGGGCCGCGTGCAGAGAGGCGCCATCTCGAGGCGCAGCGCAGCAGGGTGCGAGCGGAGCGGAGCGGCCGGCGTCGACGCGAGGAGGCGCAGAGCGGAGGCGCAGAGGCGATGGCGGCGCGAGCGACGGCCGCGTGCGCGCTGGCCGCGCTGCTCTTGGCGCTCGCCGCCGCAGGTCAGTGCGCCCGCCCCCGCGCCGCGAGGTCTTCTCTTGATGAAAACGTCACTTACTCGCTCCTCAATGCACACGGCATTGCTCTCCGTAGGATATAGAAGGTCACCTCAAAGAAACCGCATCGCCTAAACATAATGCGCATTCCGTATTTTCCTAATCCAATACGCTCTCAAAAAATTGCTAATGATGCATACTATGTGATGGATTACATGATGTTTTTCATTCCATTATCTTCATAACTTGATTTGTGCAAATCAAGTGATGTATTTTAAGGATTATTTTACAGATTACAACTGTGAGCAAGGTGATGCGATTTTTTTAGCGCTACTGTATAATGTTACGTTTTACTGCATGAAACGAGCTGTGTTCGGAGCGAGTTTTCAAATTTGTGCGACTGCAATAAAGTAACATAAATGAGTTGCATACGCCATTTTTTGTATAACTGCATTAAAAATTTATAAGAGAATTGAACTTAATTTTGTGAAACAACTTTCTTGTGACGTCTCGGGAATATGACAGTGGCGCAATCATTCGTACCGTAATATTCTAATACGTCATCATTTGTGTTTTTTTAAACGCAGCAGAAAATGTCG